GCCCACTGAGAGAGTCTGGGAGGTGGTGTGAACATGTGAGCATGTGTGTGTGCAGGTGTTTCTACCTTCCGCCTCCTTGGAAGGCCCTCCCACCCCCTCTCTGCTCACAGAGTGGGAAACAGAGGCGCAAGTGGGGCCGCCGCCAGCCTGGAGGGGTCAGCGCCCCTGAGACTTGAGAGTCTGAGCATCTGTGTTGTTCTTGGCACATCCTGGCCAGATAAGGGCTGGGGTCAGAGCTCCGCTCTCGTGGGAAAGGGCTCTCGGGAAGGCTCCTGGCCCAGTCCAGTCGTGTCCCAGATCCCAGAACCTGGAGCAGGTGGAGGGAGGCGGGCAGGAAAGATGGACAGCCGGAGGACCGCCAGTACCCACCAGGCCAGCCTGGAGGTGAGGGAGATGGGGAGGACTGTGAGGCCCAGAGGAGCCCACAGCAGAATGAGGGTCTCAGAGGGGTCTGGGACTGGGATGTCGCCACTGCCCACCCTGAAACCCAGTCTTCCCCAGCCCTGCCCTCACCTCCCCACACGGGTGTGGCTGTCTGTGAATCGGTCCCTCAGAACAGCCTAGGGACCTTGGGGACAATGCTCAGAGCAAAGAGGGTGGGCAAAGGCTAGACACGCAAAACTCCCTGTGGGATGGGGGGGACCTGAGACCCTCTCCCTGATCCAGGAAGCCTGTCAGGCTCTGGAGCTGGGGCTGATGGTCAGAGCCTGTGTGGCCTGGAGCCAAGAGGCTAGCTTTGGGAACAAGGAATGGAATGTTAGAAGACATGGAAGCAGCTGCCTGCCCCACCCCCCAGCCCCCTAACAGAGCAGAGGAGCGGGCCAGTCCCAGGATGGAGATCAGGGGTGGCTTTCCTAGTCCTTGTCCCATGGCTGACCGCCAGGAACACCCGCTGGTCCTGAGACTGAGCTCAGTGTTGAACCCTGCGCAGGGGGTGGGTTCCAGAGGTGCCCAGTACCCTCAGCACAATCATTTCAGCCCCACCCACCCCCACAGCCCAGGTCTCACTGCCGCCTGCTGATGGGCCAGTAGGGAAGGGGCTAGGGCTCAGGGCCAGGCAAGGCAACGGGGACAGGGCTGTGGCTCTAGAGAACTGTACACTGCAGATTAGTTAGGAGGGACTGGAGACTCCTAGGGAGCCCAAAAGGGGCCCTGCCATGAGGGGCACTGGGCTGAGGGGGAGCAGGAGAGAGAGGAGACCCCTCCCTCCATGCTTCCCACCTGCCCCTCTCCCCAGCACCCCTCCGCCACCCCCAGCATCCCTCCCTCCCTCCCACCAGCCCTCTGCTCAGTTCTCACAGTGGAAGCTGCTCAGACCCAGAACCACAGGAAGCACCGTGGGTCGCTGCTGCCAAGAGCCGCCACTGTAAGAGCCACCACCATCTCCGGACAACTCGACCTTGGGGCTTAGAGCAAGGACGTGCTGGGGCTGGGACACTGGGTCTCCTCCGAGGCTCCATCTCCCACCCTGGAGCATGGATCCCTCTGACTGGGCCCTTGGGAAGCCCAAGAGGCAGCCTCCATCTCAGAGTGCTGCCTGGAGGGGACTACATAGTAACTAATGACGGATGCCTGTCCACGGGCCTGAAGGCGGTCCTTCTGGGAGCCTAGGACCCACTCTCCTAAGAGGAGAGACCAGGGGGGGGATGGGGGGGTAGAATTGGAAGGACAGAGGCTGGGGAGCAGCAGACACATCCAGTCACAGTTCCATGGAGAACCCATGGTCTCACTGCGGGGGGTGGGGGGGGGCACGAGGGGGACAGACCCAGGAAAACTTAGGAGAGGAGGGGACATCTGGAGACAGGTAAGGGGCCCCAGACGGGAGAAGGACAAAGCCCAGAGCAAGACCTGCTGCAGGGAGCAGAGGCCAGAGAGTCCAGGGAACAGGAGTGGCAAGGACAGCGATGGGGTGGAGGCACTGGGTGGGGGTTGGCAGCCAAATCTGCCTCATTCCCTGGGGTGCAGCCCAGGCCTGGTCACAGCAAGTGGCCTGCCCAGGGGACCAGAGAAGGCATTAGGGCACAGGAGAGGCTGAACACTGTGGGGTCACTGCCACCACCCCCCGAGCCCCCCCCACCCCCCCACCCCCCGAGTCCCCTGTGGTCTGATGTGCGACGGAAAATCCACAGTGGAGTGGAGTTGCTGAACTGGAGGCGCTAGGCCCCCACCCTGGCCTCTTGGACCCAGCTCCACTTGGCCACTAGGGTGACTTCTGGAGCAGGCTGGGGAGAGAGAGGGGTGGAGGGAGGGGCTGCTGGTGGGGGGGACAGGATGTGCCGAGTGCCCCCATCTGGACCTCTGTGTCCAACACCAGTCATGACGACCAGGGAAGGAAGGTCCCCAGTGGGAGTGGGGAAGCCTAGCTCACGGGCCTCCTGGGCTGTGGGCACCGAGTCTGGAGTCTCCGGGCTTCTGTTGCGAGGCAGAGAGGCCCGAAGGCTGGAGTCGTGGGCAGAGCGGGAGTAGGACCTGGCTGAGTGACTTTCGTAGCACCCCGCTCTGTCTGGGCCCAGCCACCCTCCCATCACTACTGGTCTTCCTGAAAAGCCGCCGGCCCCGCTGTCAGTCTCTCCCCCGCCGGCGGACAGGAGCCTCCAAGGGCATGGGGCCTGCTCCTCAGTCTGGAGGACCTGCGTGACCTGTGGCAGGCCGTGGCCCCTTGCTGGAGGTCGCTCTAAATGTCCCCGAAGTGCTTGTCCTCTCTGGCCAGTTCAGCCAACGTCCAGAGTGCCTCTGTGCCAGGCTCAGTGCTGGAGACTGCGTAGCCGGGCAGACAAAGGCCTGGGCCGCGGCCCCACAGATGTCCCCAGCCCCTGGCTTCAGCTGGAGGCATTCTGGACCGGAGGAAACTGAGGCCCAGAGGGATTGCCCCAGTCACTCTCAAAGGGCCCAGCATGACCAAGGACCACCCATGGGGAGGACTGTTCCCCGCCAAAGTGGGCCCACCCTCAAAACCCAAGGGTCCCTCGGCTGAGGTCTCCCGCCACCGCCCCCAGCCAGGAGCCCTTTCAGAGCCCCCCGCCCCACCCATCACCCCCCTTCCTGGCCCCCTCCTCCCTTCAAACCGCAGGGCCCCGGCTGGTCTCTGGAACGCGTACCCAAGACCTTGGTGATATTTTGAGTTTAAGAAAACTTTGCAGTGGGCAGGAGCTCTTAAAGGTTATAAATAGCAGCAGCAGGAGCCATGCGGGGAGGGGGAGGCGGAAACACGTGACAATGCATGCCTGGGGGGGATTCTGAGGCGCAGACCCCACCCCACCCCACGAGGGACCCACCAGGCATCTGGGGATTTTACAACCACTGGAGCGGGAAGTCACACCCCATCCGGAAGGCACCGGGAAACTGGACCCCCTTCTCACTCCGTGGGGTCCCCAGTGGCTGGCTGGGATATGTTGCTGAAAGGGGATAGGGGAGGGAAGGTCTCTCCTCTCTCTCCCACTCACTGGGGCCCCTCAGAGCTGCCCATCATTGGGACCTAGGGCTGAGAGGCACTTGGGAGCATGTCCACCCATGTGGACAGGGACACTGGGGACACTCCAACTCCCAAACGAAGGTTCCTTCTGCTGAATTCTGCCGCTGTCTCCCCGCTCTCAAGTGATACAAGGGGGTGCCTTTCACCACCCCAGCAAGCACTGAGGGGCCCTCTGTCCTGAGCCCCTCCGGGGGTCGGCCCAGCCGTGAGGAGCCTAGCTCCCCGACAACCTGCCCACTTCTCACCGTCTCCGCTCCCGAGGAAGAGCCCGTTTGAACAGAGATGAGTAAGCGGGGGGCCAGAGAAGATGAGGGATGCCCCACCCCAAGGGGGTGGGTTGTGACAATCCGAGGCCAGGTGTGGGATCCCGACAAACTCTGTTCCAGGCCACTTCTGGCCTTGAAGGCCCTCTGGTCTCCAGGCCGGGCAGCTGATGGGAGAGAAAAGAGTCATGCTGGCTTTCAAAAGCACATCTGCCTCTACCTTCTCCTCAGTGTCCCCCAGAGTGCTGCAGTGAGCATGGAGCAGAGAGCTACAGATCGGGAAACTGAGGCAGGGCCCAGGCTGCCCCACTGGCCACTCCCAGGCTTGCTTCATTCACGACTGTCCGTGGGCCCCAGCTGATTCTAGGGGCTGCGTCCAGGCCTGGCATCCAGGCACTGAGAGGCTGAGGGAGCCCCGAAAGGTTTATGGGGCTCCCAGTGAATGGGCCTGTTGAGTTCAGAGGGGGCCCAGCCTGAGTAAATATGGCTGGTTCTGAGCTGCCATTCTTCCTCGACCTCTATCCCCAGGACCCAGGACCAAAATACAACTTCCTGTTCCCGGAGCGGAGGGCCAGCCTCGCCCCGGCCAGGGCCCTTCCGAGTTGCACAGCCAGCCCAACAGAGGCTGCGGGGAGGGAAAGCAGGGACCTCCGGATTTCAGATGGAGGACAGAGTGCTTGGGCGCCTCAAACCTCTGGCTGCCCACGTGTTAACGACCGATGGGGAGACTGAGGTCAGGCGCAGGAAGGGAGCTAGGGGAAACAGGCACTGAGTCCCCGGCCAGTGATAACAGAAACAGTGGGAAGAGCAGGCGGGTGTGGGGATCCCTGGACACAGCTACCCACTGCCCCTCCGGGGAATCTGCTTACAGAATGTCCTACTCTGTGCCTCAGAGTGCCCCTTGGGGTGCCAAGGGCAAAGGCCAGCCCTTGTGAGTGCTGTGGGTTGGTTGTAGACTGGCTGCATGCCCCTGGGCCAGTGCATTCTGCTCTCTGACCCTCCACTTGTCCATCCAGAGGTCCAGTGTTGACAAGCACCCTAGGGCATACTCTGGAATCTGTAACAATGTGTGGTGCCCTCCCTCAGGAGCCTGGAAGTCTGAGGGAGGGGTGCTTCCTGGGGCAGGGGTCCTAGGAATGTGCCCAGTGCCTGGGGCTGGTTTGAGGCCAGCCACCTCACGTGCTGGGCAGTTGGGGGCTGAGGCTGGAATGTGCTGCACCGCAGCTGCCATGTGAATCATTACACCTTGCCGAGCTGAGCCGAGTCCGGCTGACTTCCAAACACAAACCAGCTCAGGCTGGGCTCCGGTGGAAGGACTGCCTCTGGCCAGCGACGCCAGGTCCTGGGGTGAGGTGTCTGGGATGGAGCGAGGGACCCCACTACGCTCCTGGCTGGGATCCACTGGGTAGCCCGTGCTGGGAGTTCATGCATTTTCAGGTCTCAGTTTTCCTGCCTGCGGCATGGGTATGGCCCACCCCCCAGATCCCACCTGGGCATTTCTAAGATGTGGAAAGGACTGGAAGGGGCAGGCAGAGGAGAGGCGCTGGGGGTTGCAGGTGGAAAGGCGAGCTGTTCAGGCACCTGCCCGGCAGGCAGGCAGGCGGGCGGCCCCGCAGAGGAGGGGTTGGCCAGAGCCCGGGCCAGACTGCATCTCTCCCACCAGGCGTCTGGGACAAAGTCCTAGGCTGGACGGAGCAGGCCCTGGGTGAAAAATAATTAATTTTCCTTCTTAACTGAAAGCTCCGACTCAGGGCTCCGCCAGTCACCACCAGGAACATCCGTGCCTGAACCATCGAAGCCGGTCCCTCGCTCATTCGCTCACCTGCCCGGTGGTCAGCCATGGCCTCCTCCTGGCCCACCTGAGCCTGCCCTCTGGCTTCAGCCCCACTCAAGGCCTTGCAGGCACCAGGTGAGGGGGGCCCAGGGAAGCCCTGTGCCCGGCAGGGAGGGGCAAAGTGGTGCCCCTGTGGATGAGGGTGCTGGAACCTGAGCCGTGCTATGGGACCAACCAAGCGCGTCCAAGGGAGACATGCCTGGGGATGCAGCAGGGGCCTGCCATAGTGTGATTTGCAGGCAGGAAGCCCACCCACTGCCCCCACCCTACCCCATTGCTCTGCGACTGCTCCCGCCTGGGCCAAACCTCCTGGTCCCCTGCACCCCCATTTCCCTCCCTTTGCCTTCCAGAAGGGAGGGCGAAAGCCAGGCTTCCTGCTGCAGGGGGAGGGGGCCACCCGCCCAGCAGCTCCAGGGGCCTCCTGTAACTCAGCTGGGTGGGGGGTGTTTATGAGCAGCCTAAATGGCTGTAAAAGTGGCACCTCACTTCACTTCTGGCCTGGCCATCCCCTCTTCTACCGCCGCCCGCCCCCAACCCCCACCAACCCCTGCTTTCAGAGAGGACCTGGAACCTGAGAGGAGTCTGGGATTGAGATCCGGGTGGGGGTTCAGCCCAGGGTCAGGGTTCAGCCCGGGGCTCGAGGTCAAACTAGGAGGAGGACTAGCCCCAGGTCCGTGTTCTGTATAGGCCAGTGCTCCATCTGGGTCCAGTGTTGAGCTCGGCATTGAGGCAGGATTTGGGGCTAGGACTGGGACAAAGTGACAGGGAGAAAGGACTCAGAGGCAAGTAGGACCATGCAGGACGGGAGCTGTGGGGGGCGGGGGGGCGGTGTGTACGGGTGGTGGTGGCTGGGGACATCCAAAGGAGAGGGGCTGGGCTGCAGAGCTCAGAGAGCAAAGCCTCTGTCTTTCCTGTTTGTGTCTGCTATCCACCATGGCCACAGGGTCTGTGTACCTTGGCCAGAGCCCGTTACACAGTGGCAGTGTCGGCAGCAGCAGAGGCTTGTCGGCGGGCGGAGGGTGGTCACGCCAGCTCGGACAGAGTCAGATTCCAGCCGGGCTCCAGCTTTGCACTCTTCCTCCTAGGCCAAGCCTGGGAGCGTCCCAAACTCCAAACTCACTGCTGACCCAGGGCCACCGTAGGCGCCACCCACGTAGCGGCAAGGCAGAGCTGTCCCCCTTTGGTTTACTGAATCTGTCACCCTTTACAGGAATAGAAAGCCTCATCCTTCTCCAAGAGAACTGGTCTCGAACTGCTGACCTTGTAGTTCGTAGCACAATAGGACGCTCCCACAGGGACTTATGTCCCCACTCCCCCACCAACAAGGTCTTTCAAACCACCATTGAAACTGACCTGAAACTGGCCCTGGGGCCTTCTGGTCAAAAAAAAAAAGCAGGTTGGCTCTACCAGGCACTGGGGTATACAAGTTAATGTGTGACACCCGTGCCCCCATGGTGGCACTGTAACCAGAGGCCTGGGGGTAAGTATGGGGGTCAGTGACCCCACTCAAAGCAGTGGAATGAAAAAAAAAAAGCAGTGGAATGTCCTGCAAGGGACTCTGAGGTGGGGTGAGGAGCGTGAGTCACAGCTAGCTGAATGTCCTTAAGGTGGCCCCAGAACCCACCAGCTCCTTCTCTGCTGCCCTGTCCACCCCCACCCTGGTCCTCTCAAGTTCAAATATTACTAGTCATTTCCCAATTGCAGCTTTCTGGTATCAGATCTGAGAAAGATACCCCCTATCAGGCCTCAGTTTACCCCCCAGCCCCCTCCAATCCCTCTATGCATGTTCTGTTCTCAAAGGGAGGGGAGTGTGAAGGAATGGAGGGGGAGACACGATGGTCTTCGAACTATAAAATTTGCACCAGAGTTGCTTAGAAACCGAGACTGGTAGAATATGACACTCTAAAGAAGAACTGGAAGGAAACAGAAAAAAAAACCCATATATATAAATATAAATATATATATATGTATGTATGTATGTATGCATGTATGCATGTATGTATGTATGTATGTATGTATGTATGTATATGTATGTATGTATGCATGTATGCATGTATGTATATTACACTCCAGAGCCATGGGTGTTCTTTGGTGGCCACTCTGGGCTCCTGCGTCTCGTGGACAAGGAGCCCATCAACCACAAGGGGCAGCTCCCGGATCAGCACCCTGTCCCATGATAGAGAAGGTGGGCATCCTTTATATCAGGCAGAGGAGGGCATGCCTGGGGAGGGAACCCCAGTGGGGTGTGCATGGGGAGATCCGGAGAACAGGGGACAGGGCCTGTTGGGAGGAGTCATCTTTCTGCATCACCCTTGAATGCCAGATCAAGAAATCTGAGGACAGTGGGGCAGGAAGAGGGGAGGGAGGGAGCGGAAAGGCGGGGGTGAAAGATGAGCGTGCTTGAGTGGGGGGACGCAGAGGAGTGGACTGCAGCTGGGTTTCAGGAGCCTTAGGGTCTGAGCATGAGGACCCTTTCACACGGAGGGGAGGCACCAACCAGACCTGAAATGGAGGGTGGGTCTGGGGGCTTCAAGAGGTTTGAGTTCTCTTAATTTCTTGATTTCCAAGAACCCAGAGGCCTTGCCACCGACAGCAGATTCCCCTAAACAGTGACGTTCTAGCCATAAAAACAATCCCCCGGGGGACCATCAGTTGACCCCTATCCAGGGTTTGCTAGGGTGTAACCTTGACAGGGAACAGACAGCCTCATGTTTCCCTGATGAGCAGTGGGTGGTTTGGAACCGGTGACATCAAGCCACCCAATGTCTAGCCCACGGTGCCACCAGAATTCCTTCAAAGTGCCCTTTAAATCAACGGATTAACTCTCCCATTTTACAGATGAAGAAACTGAGGCTCAGACGGAGCAAGTGCCCCGGAGGCCCGGGCATACAACAGGTAAATGGGCCGAGCAGGGCACCCCAAAGTTCAGGACAGGCCAACTAACCCGTTGCATTCTAGACATCCGTAGGGGCTTTCCCTCCGGGCGCCCCTGGCTTCTCCTTGCGTCTCAGGTTCCCCACTTGGGGCTGGAGACCACCGCCTCTGAGGGGTCCACGGGGCCCTTTCAGACCCGTCCACCGCTAGAGAGACGCCCCCCTCCCCTATTCCAGGCCAGGGAACCCAGTGGAGCCGGTCTGGAGCGTTGAGGGGAGGCGTGGGGAGCCTGAGGGCCGGGGTCCCCACTGAGCCACAGGCGCCCGGGGTGGGGCCAGGGCGGAACGGAGCTTTAGTGCCTGGTGGAGTCCAGGCGCGATGGGACGTGGACCCGAGGAGAGCCCGGGAGGGGAGAGCGACTTAAGGCCAGAAAGGGGCGGGGGACGGGTCTGAGCCCCGTGGACCCCACAGACACAGCCCGGGAGGAAGGAGGGGCCGGGCCGGGGCGGGGCCGAGGGCTGCGGCGGCTC